CCCCAACACAGTTTTCCCCTATACTGAAGCTGCCGAGGCTAAGGGTACCTCTGAGACAAGGCTCTTGACTGGGAAAGATAGACCTGTTGTGAAAGATAGACCTTCCTGCCCCAGGGAGGTGAGCTCGGGTAAGGTGAGCTATGGGCTTCTGCCAGCGCAGAACCACACGGTGCTACTCTCACCAGCCCTGTGCAGTGGCCAAAGTGGAAATGCAGGAGAGAGTCCTCACACAAAGCCTGTGAGTGGTACAGGTGGAAATTTGCCAAGACCATCCTCATGCATCACACCTGGAGATGTGCTGATGTGGGCCAGATGTGGACATGTACATCAGGTAAGTTCAAGCTTTTGGTGCTGTAAGGCAGGGGGCTTGGTCCATTGCTGAAGCATGGTGTAATGATAGCCCTGTTGTATCCAGGACTGTGCTGATCTCTGGCGCCGAAATTCAGCAAGCCTCGTTTTTGGCCGGTGTAGATTTGGCCAGTGGTAAGAGCCTGTCCCTGCAGGGAAGAGCCCATGGCAGAGTCCACCTGAGGTCCACATGTACTAGGCAGAAGCAGTGCTGTGAGCATATGCTGAACTGAGGTCCCTGCAGCATGGTGGCTCATCCAAGTGCTGTTTCTACCTCATCCATCCCCCTCCTGACACTGTTGGGGCATGCCCCCCATTCCCACCTGCTGCCTGCTACAGCTCAGGTCCTCTCCAAGTCAACAGCTTTTCTCTAAAGGATGCTCTCAATGACTTTTTTTTTTTAACTGTTGCTTGTCAGAAATAAACTCTTTTTTGCCTGTGCATTTTTTGTCTTCAGTTTGTCAAGAGTCAGAACAGTTTTGTTCATTCTCACCCCTTGCTCCACCGTGACATCCATTGCACGGCGGTCCTGTCAAGGCAGCGTATCCTGCTCCCTTGACTTTCTCTGCCAAAGAGCTCCAGCACAAGCTGGCACTGTCTCATTCTGTACCCACTGATGTTTACACTCCCCCGTTCTCTTCTGATCCCTTGCAGAACTCATTGCTGCACTCCTTGCAGAACTCATTGCTTTTTTCTCATTTTTGCCATGCAGTGAAGGCTTTTGGCTCACAAAGGTACTGACTGAATCCAGTTCTGGTTTTACTGGTCCAAGCACTGTCCTTTCAGCTGGACCACTGGGCCATGCAGCCAGCCCTAGGCATCTGCTCTCCAGCAATGGCTAAAGCCGAGAGGGCGATGGTCCAGGTTAGGATTTCCCAGGCCGTAAACCTGGACTGTGTGCTCCAAGGCAAGCACAGACTTGGTGATACTGGAGAGAACTGCTACATTTTGCTCTAGGAACTGCACCCAGCAATGTGAAACTTCAGAGGAGCAATGTTTCAGGAGCTTCCTGAAGATCTCATTCCTCTGAAGGCATCAGATTGCTGGGAACTCTGAAGAGCAGGAAATGCTTTAGTGAACAGTTATTTCTGGAGCAGGCAACCTTTCCTCACTTCTTGAACCAGGTTATTCTCTTAGGATGGGCCTTTTCCTCCACCTGCTCCCCAAAACCCAATTCCTCTGCACCCTGGGAACTGGGAACAGGGGTGATGTAACATGTCAACATCTTCCTAGCAATCTTGCAGGTGGATAACGTCAGTGTGTGAGTCTCATTGAAATACATCTCCCAGAGGCCTCTTTCCAAATGCCAGCCTCGACTATTAATACGTGTTAATGCCTCATTAAGGTTCTCTGTTTCTGCCCTCTCCTTTAGCCCACACATGCCTGGGGAAGGAGAGGCAACGGGTATTATTTTTCATTAAAATTCATTGAGAAATAGGGACAATTTGAAACCACAATATATTTCCATGTACATCACTTGCAGCAAAACATGACATTAAAATGGTAAGTGGAGAGCGTGTAAATGAGCAGGCTGTTCAGGAATGGCAGCTGGATATTTGTCCCAGTTGTCTCTTACCATCTGACTAAGGGAACAAGTTATTTAATCTTGCCATATAAAGTGTACTCTAACCCACTAACTAAATGCAGCTGATCGTTTCTAAATAATGCCTTGCTTTTTATGTGCTCCACTTGTTTGTGTGAGGAATTGTAAACGAAGGAGAATGCTGCTAACCCGGGTGTTGTGAGGGACTGCGTGTTTGGGACAGTCGGAGCATTTGTAGCTCAAGGAAGAGACAAGCACAACTAGCACAAGACATTGTGGCTTGTCAGTGGGATTTGGATGGGGCATTAGTTAGCGACAAGAGTTACACAGGGGCCTGGAATTAAACTGCAGGACCACAAAGCTGATGCAGGATGGTATATATTATGCTGTTTAGTGTCTGTACATTGAAAATAGATGCTACGGATGTTATTACAGCAGGAAGAAATGTAATACATACCAGTTTAAAAACGTAATTTCTAGCCCAAGCTGTTCCTGTTAAGCTGTGCAAGGCCCTGTCTATACTCAAAAGCATTTTCACACCAGTAAAGCTGTACATCAGCCCCCCCCCCCCCTTATATCGTCAAGGTACTGCATCTTATTCCAGCTCAAGAAAAGAAAAAGAAAGCATTTCTTTGCATTCATGCAGTAAGAGACAAGGGTTGTTGCTGGCACAGTTATCTCAGAGCACGAAGATGAACATAGTCCAACAGATAAAGCTTTCTACTGGAGTCTAGGCCAGAGCTGAAAGCAATAACAATTTAAAAGGAGTAAGGAAACAGCATGAAAAATTAGCATTGTCTAGTGTACGCTGCCGCTTCTTGCTCGTGCTCAGATAAGGCTTGCTTCTGAAGATGAACTGCGTTTGGCTCGTGTCCCTGTGCCACAGAGATTTCCTGGACAAATAAATGGTCCCTTGGCAGCCAGGCAGAGACAGAGCAGGGACAGGGCTCTGCCCACCTATGTCCTCGTGTGCAAGGAGTTTTGTGAATCCTGATTGCAGAGGGTTTCACCGACCGGTATCAGCAAAGGGCAGAGGCACCATTTTGGCTTGAGCAGTGGCAGCTGGTGGAGGGCAGGGAGGGAGGGATACTGTGTGCAGCCACATCACATCATCCGTTACTCACTCCCATCAGAAGCCGCTTTGGTTCTTGCCTTTGGAAAAGTTTTTTTTCAGAGTTTCACTCCTCAGACACCTTTATTTGCTTGAGCAAATACATTCATGCTTGCACTACTATGTGCACACTACTGGATCTGACGCAGCTGTCTCTGACCACAGGCAGCATCTGCCCGCCTCCCAGCAGTGCACACTGCAGTCCCTTGGTGGTTATGTGGTATTCCTGGGCCCAGGGGATGGTGCTTCTCCAGGAGGGCAAAGATGCCTCTTGCCATTAATCCAAAAATCCAGATCTCCATGTGGGCACAGGTCAGCACCTTCCTGCTCAAACAAGCCAGGCAGCTGGAGCTGCTGCCCCTCTGCCCTGGGAGGAGACACTCGCACAGTGCTGGCATCCTTTCATGGCTTAGAGCATCAAGTAGAAGCTGGAGGTATTGCACGGACGGTGCTGTTGTATTTGAGAGCTTTGCTGCCCCTTCCTTCTTGTAGTCTGCCTTGTGACAAGTATCTCTGGTGTAAGCGAGTGCAGAATCTGGCCCATTTCCACAAGGAGATGGAGCTGTTCTGGCCTGAAATGCTGTCTGAGGAAATGCCACCATGACAGCAAGCACGACGCAGGACTGGAACAACCTCCCGCCTGGGCTAATGTGCAGGAGGCTCCTCTGGAAGGCATGGATCTGCAGATGTCCCAGCGGTTTCTGAGCTAATGAGGCAGCACCCTCTGGCACTAGTGCGTCCCTGTTCATGCTGCATCAATGCGTGGCAGAAACAGAGCACTCCGACCACATGGCTGCAGCTGGCTCCAGTCCAGGTGGTATCAGAGTGCTGGAAAATGGCTTGGCAGAGGATGGGACATGCCCACTGTCATTGTGTGACCAAAACTTACTTCCTTTCCACTCCCATCAAAGGTGTTTGCCTTTCCCTTGGCCACAGAGGTACAGGAAAAGGCCTGGCCATGTCTTGGAAGACCTAAGTCAGGAAACAGCTTGGGAGTGACAGGAGCTGCTTTCTGGTACTCACACTTTGCGGTAGTGCTACCCAAAAATGCAGGTCCACAGACACAGGGCTAAGCTGTGAGCATTTATCGCTCATGTTTTAATGGAGCCACTGGCATTAATAGTCATGCAGAATTTCCAACAGGCATGCATACCTGCTGATGCACACAGGCTGCTCTGAGCAGCACCGGGACTGAGATGGATGGATGGATGGATGGATGGATGGATGGATGGATGGATGGATGGGTGTCACCTGCTGGGGCAAGCAAAGCTTGGGAACTTGGGAGCAAGACTGGGGCTAAAGGAAGCAGCAAAGCGGAGCAAACGCTGTCTAAACACTCTAGTCGCGTAAAACCAGCAGAGAGAGAAATGGAGGCCGCTAGGAGAAAATAGCAGAGCCCAAACTGAGAAACACTCCTCAAGCAAAGTGCATCGTCGGAAACAGAAAATGAAAGCCTTGCCTTTTGTCTGATGGTTGTGAATCTCAGGGAAAGAATTGGGACGTCTTAAAAATGTACCCACATGTCGGAAGTGTTCAGTGGATATAGTACTGGCCATTTCATCAGCTACAGTGGACTGGTCATGGATGTGTGGCCTTGAACAGTCTTGGCTTCAGTAACGCACTTCGTTGAGTGAATAAGGAAAGGGGATGGAGTTGGTGCTCCTGCGGCTCCTGCCCCGTGAGACCTCCGGGGCAGGCGGGATCCCTGGCACTCGGCAGCAGAGCACAGGGCCCTGCCCAGGCCAGGGTTTCACCATGCTGAGATTTCCCTGCTGGCTAGGGTCTATTCAGGACAGCGTCCAGCACTGCAGCCACACCAGACCCACCTGCCCCACACCCTGCCTGTGCCCTTCTGGGCCGGGAGAGCGACCTGACAGAGGCCAACCCTGACAGGGGTCCCCTCCCGGGCACCAGGCCCACCGGCGGGCGGGAAACCCCAAAGCCCAGCGCCTGCGACCGGCGCTTTGGCAACCAGCACCGACGCCGGGTCCGGGAGGCAGAGCCGGGGCGGGCGGGCAAGGGGGGGGGCCCCAGCCCGGGGCAGG